CTTGCTTGTGGTTTATGATTTTCCTGCTCCCACTCGGTGGCAGGGGTATGTAGAGAAACAATGTCAATAATTTACCTCTGTGCCATTTGCCTCGGACAAAGTTTACCAAAATAGCCTCAGATGCTTTCTGGGGGAGACATTAGTTGAGTTCAACAGGACAACTATTTCCAAGCAGTTTCTGTGAGTTGCCTCCACAATACAGCGAGTCAGGCAGTCTTGGATGAGTATTACACACACTACTCACCCCAGCATTGACATTTTTGCAGAATCTGTGGCCTTCAGGATCTGACCATGGTTATGGGCTCCCACCTCTGGAAAAGTGGACTCTTTTCTCAGATGCACAGAAGCCCCCAGAATGTTTTTTTTAGCACCTAGCTACTTTTTTGTATGCAGTTGGGTGCTGAGTTTTGAGTTTAGGGTCATGCTCATTTCTAGGACTTGAGGTGTGGTTACACATTTATCATGAGTTAATGTGTGGACACTTACTCCAGAGTATGAATCCTTCCAAGTGTGCCTACCATGGCATGCTGATGGGCGAGTAGAGTGGCCTTCCTGGATTTGAGTGCTTGAATGCCAGAAGCCAAGGAACTGTTCTTCCACACAGCAGAGCCGTGAGCCAACGCCCAGGACTCTCAAAGGACAGCCGTGGGGGCAAACACACAGTGAACTCCCAGGATTTCAGGAATGCAAACCTTTATTTTTCATAAACCATGACATGGTACAGGGAGGACACTTCCCATGTCTGGGTGGAAGAGGTGTGGAGTTAGAAAACCTATTGTAGCAGCACTGTGTTCTGCTGTAGCCCAAGGTGCTCCATGGACTTGTCTCCTGGCTGCTCCTACCTGCAGCTTTCCTGTGTGGGAGAGACCTCCCTCCTGCCTCTTGCACTGACATTACTGTGTCCAAAACCGGGAGCTGCTCTGCACACGCTCAGGTGCATCCCTGTGCTGCAAGGCAGCAGTGCCACCTCGGGGCACATTCCAGAACTGGGATGTCTGCTAAAATAAGGGACAGCGTTCACATTTTCACACTCCTGCACTGCTATGGGGTTTATTCTACCCAGGAGAACTTCCTGAAACCTGAACTGCCTGCTGTGCTTTCGCAGCTTGTCCTGCTGCTTTAGGGAGTCCTTTCACGTCAAAACACCTCTCCCGGGAAGCACCCTGGCGGCCATTTGATACCAGCTGGTGAGGACCGGGGACAACTTGGTTTCCCTGGGAGCACAAACCTGCCTTGTGCTGAAGTGCACAGCTGTCCACAGCTGTGGCAGCTCCCTCAGCCGGGTTAGCTCTGAGAACAGGGCCACCGTGGCTGTTCCGCTTATGGAATACTTTGCACTCCAACCACTCCTGATACATTTGCTTGATTGCTGCTCGGATAGGCAGCAGCTGTTGTCAGGAATAAAATCTCTGTTACCAGCAGGAAAGGGCAGGAAATTTTGTTTGAAGATTAGAAGGCAAGTGCCTGCGAGCACTAGTTTACAGCCGCCATTAAGGTCAAGGTTTTCCTTTTAGTTTAAAAATTTAATTTTCAAAAAGTATTTTAAAAAAAATTAAAATACCTGGAAACAGGTATTTTATGTGTGGCCAGTACTAGTACTTGGTAGCAAACCAGCACCACATCCGAAGAACAAGGCCAAAATAACCACAATCATGCATCTCTGTTACAATCCCCTTCTGTTACAAAACCTCTTCTGTACTGTGCTGATACTGTTACACAAACAGCAAACTGTGTGGTTTATCTTTTGGATGCCATCAATAAGCATGCAGAAGGCTGAACCAAACAGAGTGAATTTCTTCCCCAGAGCCAGATATTTTAGGCAGTGCTACATAATCCTCCCCAATATCCACTCTGAAGCTCCAGAAGAACCCAGCCATGAAGTCTACTTTTTACTCTACTGCTTTTTTCATTTTTTCCCCCTTTGAAGTAGTATCAAGGCAGTCAGAAAAACACTTTTTTCCACATTAAAACTCTGTTAGGCCTCTTCTTCAACAGCAGATGTTAGACACTTCATACTTGCAGACTTAGATGATCAAGGGCTGAACAAAACCTGTGCTGACAGAACATCTTCACTCACCTCATCTAAGCTGTGTAATGCCTCAGGAGCATGGTTTTAAATACCGTGGTACTTACAGAAGAAAAAATTTCCCAAACTTAAGTAAGAGTATTGCCTTTGGCCAGTTCTAGCAAAGGGCAGTTGTCACCACTACTTCCAGCAGCAGCACCTGGCACAAACTGCTTGGACAATTTCTCATGCTGCACTTCCCAGGTGGGACCAGAGCGAAGATAATGACTTCTGGTCAGATGCATTGGCTGGGCAGCTGTGTGGACACATGCATTCAATCAGAAAAATGTCTTGTATTTCTTTTTATTGTAATAGAAAAAAACCCACAAGTAAACCAAAACATCACTTTCTGCCTAAAGACATTATTAACATTTTTAAAATGGCACGGGGGGGAACCTCAGCAATGCAAGACAGAATATTAAGTGTGGGCAGGAGGGTTCTGTTCCCTTTCAGGAGTTCAGTTTCCCTGCCCCTTTGTCCATTAGCTGGCTGAAGTTCATCACCTATATACATTTACATACACTTCTCAGTCTAGCTTGTTTTTAGCTGGGTGGAACATTGAGGGCACAGTCCTGCAATTTACACATAACCATCTTTGGAGAAGACAGGTTTCCTAACAGTCCTACAGGGTACGGGGGTCTCATTACCCAGTAAGACCAAGCAAAGAGGATTCCCTCTTACAGTTCTTTTGCCACAAAACACAAAAGTAGGTTCTGAGCCCAAGAGCTCTTTGACTATTGCAAACAACACACAGCTGAGTGAAATTTTAAGGTCACCCAGTGACCTTAAAGTAAGAGCATTATCTCTGCAAAAGGGCTGCTCAGGAGGGGAAAACACAGATTGCAAAATGCACAGGGTGAATGTATTTCTTTTCTTTCCTGCCCCAAGAGGATGCAACAAGTCCTGAAGTAGGCAGCCAAGCAGCAACTAGGCTCAGGACATCCAAAGTTGTGGATATACAGGGCATATCTTCATTGTGTAAATGTGTGGGGTAGAAACCATGGCACCAGTGCTTCCATCACAGGCAGCTGTGCCTGAAGCAATAATTTGCTGAAAGGCAAGCAAGCACAGCTGTGCTGCTTGCAGGTACCAAAGGAGCCCACCAGGATGTTGGGCTGCACTGTGTCAGCTCAAGTGTACCTGCTCAACTGAGGAAGCTCCAAGATCTCTAACATGATCTACAGCATTTTGTGGCACAGTCATGTGTGTATTAAGATGAAAGGCTGGTTGCTCTTCTCAAACATGTATGGAGATGACATATATACTAGACAGGAAAACTAAGTTATGGCTTAGCAAAACCAAACACCGATCCTTCCTTCAGGATCATCAAAAGATATTCATAATGGGCTTTCATAGACCATTTTCTGCAAACAGGACATTTGGAGGGGGTAAGATTGAAAGCTTTTGTATAAAGCCATCTGTAGTAACTGCTACAGTTATCTCCAAGTCTATCAAATGAAATGCTTAAGGAGAAGTTGATGGCACAAACTGAGAATGACAAGGAAAAGGAGCAGCTGGGCTGCAGGGTCCACTGCTGTGCACTGAGAGCAAGTAAGTATGAAACAGCAGAATGGCCTGACAATAGCCTGTTCCCATCTGTGCACTGGCTCCACAATGTGCAGGACAACTGAGTATTTGACAGTGACTGCAAAAAATTGCAGTTTTCCTTCTATTCCAGCCCCTCAAAAATACAAACCATTATAGTCCACACAGTGTAACAGTGTGGGAAATTTATCAGTCTGCATTATTCTGGGAGACAGAACGCAGCAGATAAAAGACACCTCGTTTAGGTATGTAAGAAGTTTCCAGTGCAGGAAGTTTGAGATGCAGGACTGAACTTGCAGCAATAGTTTTCACAACAAAGCACTGGACAAAGGGCTATACATTTGCATAGATGCTTTGTTGGCAGCATCTGGGATGTGCAATCCCCATTTAAGGAGCATCAGCATTGTTCTGGGGTTTGTCTGATGTCTTTCTTATATTCCTTCCTAAATTTAACTGCTACAAAATTGTTCAGGAAAGCAGTGTATATACATGCATGAAAAGAAAACATTGTGCCTATTTTTTCATTCCCCTGTTCTTTCCCACTGCAAGTAATTGCAAAGCTCTAAAAATCTTTAACTAGAAGATGCAGTATTGATATAACCAAAGGTTAATCTAAGGACAGGACTGCTTCTGCATGTACTCCAAGAAACTCAGTTTCACAGAAAAGCTTAATTTTACTCTTCCTCATTTTCTTTACATTTGGGGAGACCTAGCACTTATTTCTCTTAAAGAGAGCCATGATATGCTTGACTGCTTTGGATAGGGCAGCACTATTAATGAAACTTGGAACTCCTACTGTGTCTGCAGTTGGATATTGAAGGCAGAAATTGGTCCAACTGGTATTATCATGCAGTTGCCATGCTACTCCTGCCTTACTGTACCGTAACTCTGGCTTTGGAAGGAAAAAAAAAACAAAACCAAGAAAATATAGTTCTTATGCATTAACAATGTCTGTCTATATGCTGATAAGCTTATGTGTGAGAAAAGGAAACATTTCACTTCATTTTACTTTGACCTGAAATTTGTCTCTACCACTTCTGCTCATGAGATTCTGTTCAGCTGGTTCTTTCCCATAACTCTTAGATCTGGCATTACAAGGCTCTTGGTAACCTTCAGCTCCAGGTTCCCTCCCACCACAGCAAGTCCCACTGAAGTTCAGCTTCTGAGTGTGACACTGACACATGGTTCAGCTTTCTCGCCTTTCCCATACACGTGCCACTGCAAATATCCTAATCAGATGAGTTCAGCTCTTCCCCTGAGCAAATGTCAGTGAAATATGCAGACTAATCCTGGGATACCTTCGCTTCCTAGGCTACCAGTACCTGCTCTGCTTTTTTTGCTAGACTTTAGCAAATACCCCCAAAATAGAAGCACTGACAAGACAAAGACATGCAAGTCTGCAAGGGATGTCCAGGACATCCCCTTATTTACTTCAAGTTGTGTCATGGGCCGCTGAATGCTCACAGAATGAATTTCCACTTACCAGCACAGGAGTTACGTAGAAAGTGTCAGCCTACTTGGGCAAGACAGCGTTTATAAATTAGTATAATACTATTAGAAATTATGGCAATATTTTTGGTAGCATTGTCTTACATGCACCCTGATAAATTCTCTCCCCAGGAAATTTTAAAACTTGTCTTGTAACTTCTGTAGAGTTAATTCTCATGAGAAATTATAAAATAGAAATCTGGTAGATTCATGTTTAAAAAGGAAGAGGCCTGGTGAGGCTGGGCACACTGGGTCACTCCTGTTAGCTCTGTCCATTATGTCTGCTGAAGGTATTTCCTCCGGGTGGCTGGATCTGGATGGAGTCCAGGAGGGGCCTTAAAGCTTGTCCAAAAGGTCTGAGAAGGTAAAGAAATAAACATCTCAAATAGTTTACTTGGTCAGCAACTCCCATTTACCTCTGAAGTACAGTCACTTCTTAGAGTTCAATCAAACCAACATTCTAGAAGCAAATTTGAAGACAAGACTTCCAGTACAAACTAAAGCAAAATAATTTAACCTATTAGTTTACCCTTCAATAACTAAGAAACTTAAACATGATTTTATATAAGGTAGTTCTGAGTCCTAACATGCCTAGTCTGCTAATGTAATACTGTCTGAAACCAGCTCTCAGTAATTCATTCTACTTAAGTGTGCAAACAAAATCCCTATTATGCAACTGCAGTGTTCCATAAGTACATCAATATTGAGACCTGCCAAAAGAATAGCCTCTAGCTTACTTAAAATACAATGGTTCAACACTCCCAGAATAATTTCTGTTGCAATCTGTAGTACCTGGTTTATCTTTCAATAGGACTCACTCTGTTACAGACTTTATCTGATTTTGAGAGATCTGAAGGGATAAGAGTCCAGGGTGGAAGACACATGTCTCACAAATGATGTGTTATACCACTGTTAATAGAAGTAAGACCTAAATGATGGAGCCCACATCATCCTACTGGGATCCTCACCAGCTGAGAGTTTAAAAAAAAATCTGAATTACAAGGCAGGAATTCTTAATTTCCTTTTTTTCCCATATCCTCTTCCACCCAATCTTAGTTTCAAAACTGCAGCATTAATTTTAAAATTGTACCTCCCCTGCCTCTTCACAAGCAAACTGACACCTCTGCTGCCATTATGGTGCTTAGAGAAATGACTTTTAACAGATACTGGCTGTCTAAGAGGGAAAAAAAACCCTTGCACTGTTTTCTGAAACTTTCCAAGCTTGTCTGGTCACATATAAGAGACCATCACAAAGTAGCTAGTGTAAGTTAAAGGCAGAATGACAACCTTCTCCTGTCTTTTGGAACACCAGTGCCAGTTAGCACTTGTCATACAGTGTTGCAAGTGTTGATGCAAAGAAAATTCCATCCTCTCCTTAATCTTATGCTGGTTCTCAGACAGATCCATCAGAAACTGGTACTTCTGGCTCTGTCAAATGTTTAAGCATTAGCATGAAGCAGCCAGAGAGGAGGGGCATCCATACTCACGTGGCAAGAACTTCAGATGGAAGGTCAGTGATGTAGGAAGGGATTTTTTTTCCTGTCAGAAACTGTGCCACTTCATTACTGAAGGTGTTGCAGTTATGTTCAAAGAGGTTATAAGACTCTCCTCTGTGCCACAGAAAATAAATTGAAACAAAACCCAACAGATTCAGCAGTAAATCTTACAAACAGAAAAACTTACACCTGTACATCTCCTTACATTAGCACTTCCTCGCCCCACCCAAAGAATTCCAAGGCAAACAGGTAAAATACATACATCAAATCACCCTCAAATTCAATTGAATCAGGGTGGAAAATGACATCTCTCTGCATTCCTGAATTTAATACAACCATTTTTGGGACAATAGGTGAGGTCAGGTTTCTTCAATTAAAACCACGGTAGCAGTAATGAGAAATCACAGGAATTATTGACTCTGAAAGACAGCCAGAACACTAAATGTTGTGGTTTCCTATTCTTGTGAGAAGCAGAATAGACTCTTTAACAGTCAAGACCTTGCTTCTACTCAAGTGAAAACTGGCAGCTTTACTACAGTGACTACCTATGACTCACAGGGCAAACTGCTATTTACTGAGAGGTTTAATTTTCCCTGGTGATTCTCTCAAAAGCATTTCAGGCATTATTCGATTTTACAAAAAACTGTGTGAAAGACTTCCCAGAAGAATGCTTCTTTCCCAGACTAGAAAGTAGCTCCTTGCGTTTATTGGTGCATCAGTCCAGTCCATATTTGAAGAGTACCAAATGAGAGAGTAAGCGGACAGAAGTTGTGAGCTGGATTGATTTCATAACACCTTCCTCCACTCTGCACCTTTTTGGTATACAAGTTTACCAGTACAAGCTGTTACTTACCGGAACATAGATTCCCCCAAAGAGGAAAGGTATTCCAGAAAAATTTCTTCAGTGACTTCAGTGTTCCCCAGATCAACAACTGTGTCTGGAGGACCAAGAAGTGTCCCTCCCTGTAAAAAAGAACAGCCAGAAGATAATGTTAAATGATCCGGCTGATTTTTTTTTGAGTTTTGAATTTATTCTACTGAATACAGCTATTATGGTTTGTCCAGGCACAAAAGAAGGAACTTTTGGTGTGTTTGTCAAGAAAAAAGCCCTGCTAGCCTCCCTTGTTCTGCACTCAAGAGAATGAAAAGGAACATGCAACTTCCATTTCAGCTGGTAAATTTGGCTCTCTGGGCTGAAAGCTCTAAGATATGGCAAAATTTTGCTTTAGAAGCATGGCCCATCCATTTTACCTCTTTAAGAACAGAAAGGTCTGAGAAAATATCATAGTTTGGGGCTTTTTTTCATCCTTAAAAAGTCTGCATGCAATATTTAATGACACAGAATTGGACAAGGTGTCACTGGCAAAGCAGTTGCAGAAGGTGTTCTGGATAGATAGACTGTACCAGAAGAAGCAAACTCCAACCTGAACTGGGTTGGGCTTAAACCATGCTCCCTTTACCCTCAGTACCCTCAGTACCGTGGGAAACCATGACAAGCAGCTGGCTTCAGCATCTGTCTGAATTTAGAAGTCTTTTGCTGCTTTTCTAAAGGACAGTAACACAAGCAATTCTGATCAGGTAACTCTATAAAAAATTATTAGAAAATTAAGTTTAGCTTACAGGTGCACAGCTGGAGATTCCTCCACTGCCATAGAAGAATTCATCCTTATGGACTATTATGGAGGTGTGCCTGCCACAGAGAACAAAAGAAAAAGTTGAAATAAAGGAAAAAGTAAATAGCCTAGTACATAAATCACTGATAAATTTATGAGCTCAAGGACATAATGAAGGGAATAACTGAAAGAAAAGGTCAATGTGTTTCTGTGAGTGGGCACAGGATCTGCTGGGACATGAATGGATATGGAAGCAATGATTATCAAGCCTACTGTAATTCTGCAAGCAGTTAGGAAAGAACAGGTTTAGCTAAGAGCCCAGGCACGAGCCTCTCTCAGCTAACGGGCTGAGGGTGAGGTCAGCCCTCAGAGATGGAACTAGCCCTGCTACCACACTGACAGAGACTTCTCACTGGCTGAGAAGCTGGTAGGACAACCACTGGAGATGGATCAGTAGAAAGGAAAACAGATGGACAAGGGTTTAGGAGTTTTCTTGCCTCTAAAAAAAACCCCCAAACCCGAACAAGCCTTCTTCATCTGGTATCAAAATTCTTGGTATGAAATATAGGAAATTAGAGTTTTTTTTTGACTGAATACAGATGCTGCTCTCATATGGCAGAAGACTTGATCCTGTAATACCTTCTTCCCACCTACTCTTTTACTCTCATGTTTAGTGATGCCTGGAATTATAACACAAAGTGCTTGGGACAAGGACACGATTTTACCCTTGAAAAAGTACACAGGTGCACAAAAACACAACTACTAACAACACCCTTTTCCATGGGGTCCACTGGGCTTTGAACAGTGGTTTTACTAGCACCTGACTGAACATCATCTTACTGCCAGTCTGTATTCAGGAACAAAAAGTATCTCAGTCTCTCTTCCACAACAAAATATTCTTAAGATCTGAAGCATATATAATTGCATATTGAAAATACTTCCTACACCAGTGTTATTGCACATGATGCAGTTTAAATCTAGTCACTTACCAGATGCCATCCAGCTGTTTCCCTGTATGCAGAGAAAAGAAGAGTTATTAGCAATGTATTTTCCAGATTTCAGCCTACGTTCTGTCAATCACTTAGGAACCATGCTTATCATGACAGCAATACCAAAGGTTTAATCCAGAGTTGCTTCTAAAAAGTCCAGAATGTCTTTCAAATTAACTGCTCAATCCACACTACTGTTGTACTTCTTCCCTCCTGGCAGGCAGAGGTAGCAATACCATCCTATCCTGCCAGTGCTTACCTTCTTTAGGTGTTTTCTCTACAGACCAAGAAAGAAAACATTTTCCTAAAATTAGAGTCTTCAATCAGGAGCAGAAGAGTTGAATTTGACAGATTTCATAACTACAGGCTGCTAGCCAGCAGAGTGTATTATTCAGTTCTCGTTTTCAGTAACTGATGAGAGGTCTGACAAACACATGACCAGTGGTGGTAGCCTCTATAATGTATTCCATAATTTCCTCCTTTCCCTCCCTCTCCCTGCCCTTAAAAATTAGTTTAAGTGGGAGCTGAGGTAGAAAAGTGCAGCACTGAAATTTATACAAGTTACCAAGCTGTGTGTTTTGCAGAACACAGAAGCAAAGACTTGCTTCAGGCACCACTACACCGATAATTTAATTGTGTCTCAAAGAAAAGGTCCCTTTCAAAATGTGTTTCCAGTTTCCTAGAAGCAGGAGACCTAAACCTCTCTTCTGTTCATGGCAGGATCTCAAGATTAAACCTCTTTCAAAAAGGTCACCAGCTTTTATGGCTCTAGGCTTATTTTATTTTTCATAACCTAAAGTCTTGGTCCCTGGTACCCTTCCTTTGGGAGCTTGTAGGGTGCCAGTGGATGCTGTGGGAGATGTGTTATAACTTTATTTCCTGAACAGGGAGCATAACTCCCAGAAAGCAGATTTAGAACAGAAAAACTACATGCATGCCAATATTTGGTATTCTCTTGAACCCAAGCACTAGACTGAGTACTCCTTTGCCACAAGAAAAAGCAATCACGAACACATTTTTTTACACTCAAGTCTGAAGCAAAATAAGTACCTGCTTCAGATGAGAGTCATGGAAGAGCAGAGACAGGGAAAAGGCTGTTGTGACAATAGAGACATCATCTGAAGGGAGCACATGTAGTTTTGAAGCAGGTGGACAGATCTGTCACTCCCATGGAACACAGCCAGGCAGCAACCACATTCCCTGTCAATCCATTGCAGAGAAACGTAGGCTTGGAGTAGGATGAAGGCCAAAAGAGAATGAAGCAGAACAGTGCGTTGCAGTATCTCAGAAGCATCTGCTGGTCCTTTAAAATGTCCCACTGTTGTGCTTCGTCATCCTTTGGCCCTTGTTCCACATCTCCCCATCAGAGGTTTCACCTTGCACTCTGGAGCTGCCAGCACCCATTGGCCCTGGAGGCTCAGCACCACAGGTGGCACTGGCCTCTGGTTGGCTTTACCCTTTGGCTTTGCCCAGTTAGCGTTCTGTGTATCTGTTAACAAATTATTACACATTTGCTCACAATAAATAAATTTTTCACTAGAAACTTGAACTTTATGTTTCAGACCAGAGAAACAAACCATTTCAAAGGTAGCACATATTAGAATTGTGCCTGCTCTTTGCATGCTAAATTGAAAGAGAACATTTTAATATTTACTTTCTCACACACCTGCAGCAAACAATAATGAAAGACTTTCCAGAGAGTTGCCACTTTGTACCTAGATTCTGTAGGAAGGTGCAAGAGCTACAGTAGATATTGACAATGTCACAGATGCTGCCAGGACCTGCTTGTGCAATCGCAACACCTACCTGAAAAGATCATTGCAGCAAAGGCTACATAATGTGCTGCTCTAGCAAGGTTGCAGCCTGCAATTCAAGGGAGGTGACTCTGTCCTCCAGTTTGACACTTCTGAGACCACATCTGGAGTGCTGTGTCCACTTTACTATCACCACAGTACAAAATACACTGATGTACTAGGCTGGAGCAGTTACTGTACTGAAGAAGAGATTAGAGAACCTGTGTTCATCCTCAAGAAGAGAAAGCGAAGAGTCTGTTTTCCTGTCTACAAATACCCAACAGGTATGGATGAAAGGGGATCCTTGCTCTACTCAGATATGCACAGTGAAAGGCAACAGGTGCTAGCTGGAAAATGGGAAATTCACAATTCAGTAGGAAGCAGCGAAAACATTTATCATGAAGATGGTCAAACATTGGGGCAGGAATCCAGAGAGCATGTGGGATTTCAATCCTTGAAGATACTTAGAACTCTGCTGTCCTGGGCTCTGAAGAATTTGCTCTTGTTTGCTCTACCTTGAACAGGACTTCTAGAGGTCCCTTTTCACCAAAGTAGTTATCTGGTTGTATGTACAAAACCCGAGCAGAATTCTGGAATTGGACTTTGCTTTGGACTGCAGTCCAATCTTTACTGCTACACATGAAGTCTGTAGCAGTCCAAAGGCAGCAACTGCCAGGGCAACAACAGAACAGCTTTTGGCAAGCAAAGCTGCCTATCTTCACAAGGCAGGTCTATCTGTGGCTGCTCAGCTCACCCAGTTTGTGCCAACACTGATTTGAAAATCTTAATGAAGCTGCAGACCCACTATTTTTCCTTGGCTCCTAGAAGTCATTAACCAAGCTGGCATTGTGGAAAACATACATCAGATCTGCAGCACTGCTGACAATAAGGCATCTCTGGTAGCTCTCCAGCCTGCTACAGACAAAATATAATCCCTTTCTTCCTGTGCTGGACTGTGTTTGGTCAGAGGTAAGAGTCTTTGATGACAACTCTGCTGGGGGAATCCCAAGCCTAAGAAACCTGCCATTATTGGCCATGTATGCATCAGCCAGAGACAACCAAGACTTTAAGAACTTTAAGTTAAGAACTTTTGGTAAGCTACTACAGTACCCCAGCTTCACAGGTTGGCTGTTGTTATTTCAACTCAAACTGAGCCACAGACAAATAAATCAATGGCCACCAGTTTCTGAGGAACTCAGGCAGCTGCCTTTCCTGCTGCTCAGCAAGAATCTGTGTTGCTTGTTTGTCATGTAAGAGGTTACGTACAGACCTTCACAGATAATCATCTTCCTCCTGAGTTTTGCTCTGATGGGAATCCTGCTCTATGACTCTTCTTGCCCTTTCTCCCAGACTCAGACACTGCACAGAACAGGTGACAGCTCACCACCACTGCCAAGCCTGATAAGCTCAGGTAGAGCAATCAGGGCAGCCTGCACCAAGTTATGTTTTGCCCTCTGCCTGACATTGACCACTATACACAAAATATTTTGCCCAGAGCCTCTGAAGGCTTGATACACACAAATGCCCCAACAGCATGACCAAGCAAGGCTACAGCATTGCTATGAGTGTTAAGACAGAAGTTGTATCCGGGCCTTGCAGCAACACTTTCCAATAAAGCTGCTTCTGGCAGCACTGTCCAGCTTAAAAAACAGAAGCTCAAGCTTGCCATGAACCTCCCCAAATAATCCTATACTGCAATAAAGCTCACATCCCATAGTTAATTGAGTGGACTGTAAGAAGGGATTGCAAACACTATCCAGGATACTGGCAGATATCATGCTTCCTGTTCTTCCACTCCTTGCCCAACACTCCCAACTCCTGTGGTCACTGCAATGTGGGTAGAACTGTGTGTTGCTACTGCCAGCAAAACCAAGACATTTACTCATGACCTGAGGCTGTCCATTACTGTATAGAGAAGTCTGACTCTCCAGTAATTTCCACTGGAGCTGAAAAACCCTTTGCAGCATTAAATTGCAGGCATTACCTTTGACTCAATACCTACAGTAAAGCTAATTCAGAGGATGCACATGCTCATAATGCAGTTCTTTTGGGCACTTATTGTATCTGAAGGGAGGATATCAAGAGGATGGATCCAGGCTCTTCTCAGTGGTGACAAGCAATAGGATGAGGCAATGGGCAGAAACTGAGGCACAGGAAGAGCCATCTGGACATGAGAACTTCTTTACTATACAGGTGATGACACACTGGAATAATTGCCCAGAGAGGCTGTGGAGTTTCTCTCACTGAAGATATTCAAGAACCATCTGGACACAATCTTGTGCAATGTGCCTGGGATGACCCTGCTTGTGCAGGGAGATTGGACCAGATAACCCACTGTGGTTCCTTCCAGCCTTACCTCTTCTGTGATCCAGGTGAAACAGTGAAACATCATAATGCTAACTAGGTTAAATATTTCAAGGGTCAGGAGGCTCTTGAACAGAAAAGGTTGGTGCAAATTTAGATATACACATTTAATCACACAACCTTGAATGCATATGGCCACGCTATCAGGTATCAACTCTCCCAGAGAAATTGCCTACGTGCCAGCTCAGCCTAAAGAAAATGTGAAGCAAATCAGCTTGGTTTGATCTGCATCCGTTCCAAGCTAATGCAAGTCAAGGTACCTTTTTTTCCCCCCACAGACTGTGAATATGGACATGAACAGCTACTATGTTACATTTGTGAGAGTTTAGGGGGATAGATAGCCTGTCTTTGGAAACAAGATCACTATGTCTTTTGACTGTTTATTTGCTTGAGCATGGTTTTGTTTTTATACTTTTTTATTTTTCCCTTATTGACGTGCTTCTGTGGCTCTTTCCTGAAAACACTCACTAGAACCTGGGGGAAGATGCCAGTTCAGCACAAATCAGTGCGCTTAAGCATCTCAAAGATTCAATTTGTTTCAATAAGGCAGACTAGCATCTAGCAAGTAAGCAAGTTTTTATATTTGCTGTTTTATTTTCTTTATAATGTTCATAGCTCAAATACTTTAATGGTGTTTACATGAGACAGAAACCTATGAGAAAAATAGAACATAAACAATTCCAGGACCCTCATCTTAGTCACAGGAACATGGAGAATGAAGTAGTTAGACTAGCTTCTTGTAAAATCAACTCAGGTGACTGTAATTGTTTGGATATGGGGAGATTCTGAAAGAAGAAGGAAGCCCATATAATTTTAGAATACAATTGAATGGGATTACTTCAATGTTTAGATTTGTCTGGAAGGCCAAGCACAAGGGCCATTAGACACTCACCAGTTTTCTTTTCATCACAGTAATTTATTAATCTTGAGGGCCAAACAATGTTGATTATTCCTGTGCATTTCAAATATCAAATGAAAGTGGCACTTGTATATTAATTCAAATTATTATACTGAAGGGCAGAAGAGTTCTGAGACATAAGGGAAGGAACGGTCTGTGCAGATGGGTACTCAGTTTACCCCATTTGGAGTTCAGGACATCCAACCCTCAGTGCAAGATCTACGCCTGCTTTTGAGTTGTTAAGAAATTATAGGAAGCTCGGTATCTTTAACAATATATCTCTGCAATGGATATGTAAGCCCCAGAAAGCCATAAAAGACTCTAAAAAAAAAAAAGTAGTGAACTGTTCTCCTGTGGAATCAGAAGTAATACAATTTGGTCAACCAACATGGGTATTTCTAGCAGTGCACTGCTTTGCATATTGTTGTAATTTCCCTAGGACAACTCATTAAGATTCCTGCCTTTTTTGAATAGAAAATTACTCTAATTAGGCAAGCACATAGTCAAGCACTTTCTTCTATATGCTACCCAGGGGTGCTCAACCAAAGCAAAAAAACCCATCTTAACGGAGAGGGAGGAGCCTGCTTCAATTCCCTTCTCCTTGAGGTGCCTAGAGAGACAGAAGTAGGCTATATTGGGGGAGGGTAACGCACACGATTTTCATGAAATCCTCAGCAAATGCTGGGAGCAAAGCTGATAGAATATCATGCTGAAGCAATTTAACACTGTTCAGAACAGATGGAGGAGAAGCAGAGAAATGTGCTGGCCTGGGAAAATGGAACCAAGCAGAAGGCACGTTCTTTCAGCAGTTACCTTTCGCTCCAATTCCCTCTGGGCCATTAAGTCCCTACAGCTGAATGCACCACTTAAAAATTTCAACCAAAACATACTCCCAGTCCACTCAGTTTATACTACATGGAGCCAAAGTTGTTGTGGTTAACCAAGCTTCCAGCTCACTCTGTGAATCACAAAAGCAGTAACCTCAGTTACAGGACAGGAGAACTTTGAGAGGTGCTAGACGTTTTTCTTTAAGCCAATGATGCAATAGGATTTTAATCTTCTTAAAGACTTCTCTGCCTTTGGACATCTATTTCAAAATCTGCACTGCAAGCTGAACTATTCCCTTCTCCTCTTTACCCTCCACAGAATCAGGTGGATTATGTTTTCTGTCTTGGCAACAGGAATCTTACTGAATTGAGGTCAACATTTCTTATATCACATAGTTGAACAAACAAATGTAGTCATGGACTGAGTCATGGGGGGAGAGGACCAAGAGTAGCTATTGAGAAGATGCAGTGTAGAGCAATATAAAAATTAAATGTGCTCCTTCTGATACCAAAGGCAACTGAACTACAGTTTTTCATCATATATACTTCAGAACAGAAATATTCACTAAATTACAGGAAGCTTACAGAAAATTAAGAATAATAAAAGCAGTCTGGGTAGAAAAAGAGTAAATTTGCCACAAAAAACAAAGACTGCCCAAGGGACAAGACTAAGTCACTAAAGCCTGCTATGAACTGTGCTAAACATCTCTCCCTTCCAGATTCATCATTAAACAACAACAAGAGAACTGATACTGGAAAAAGTCAGTATAACATTTAGTAGTGAGAGCTGATCCCTGAAGGCTGTGCTGACATAGTCCACAATACCTCTGGACCCTATTAGCACAACAGAAGACACAGTGCAGTGATGCTCTCACAGCGAGCAGTCTCATAAGACAGGACTCATCCCCCTCTGGCAAGGGGACCTGAGCTGCTGTTTTCAAGCCTGACAAAAATTGATTTTAGCACAATCAATTACTGTATTTATTTTTTTCTTTCTAAAACAAGGTACTTCAATTTAGGCGATACTACAGAATTATCACTCAAAGCAAAAGCACTGTTTCAAATTTGGCATTGATGAAAAGAATACTGAAAGTAGAGATGCCAAGTGTAAATCCTTTAAGAAATGCCTTCTTTAATTTCTATGACTTTCCCCAATGACCTACAGTTTATGAACATCACTAAGGAAATAATTGATATCGACCATCTGAAAGTTGATATACAGAGAAATAGCAAGAGTTTTTTTGTTGTTCTTTAAGGAAAAAAAGGTCTGTGTATGATGTAAGAGGAGTATTCTCTTGATCACTTGGCTTTTGGGGAGGTTTCCAAAATCATCTGGAACAGAGCTGAGTGTGAATGCACAGAAGACACAACTTAAAGGAAGGAAGAAAGAAAGAATGATTTGTTTTATGAACAATCATGTCACTGGATCCACACAATCTCAAATGTTCTGCAGTCTGTATTGTCACTGTGACCACGCGGGCCTAGCTGGCCACGTTCCATGAACACATCTGAACTCAGTTACCAGGCAGTACTAGCGAGTAGCACTTCCCCTACTACCCAGAAGTGTTCAGGTTTTTAAGCTTTCCTTTTCACTGCTCAAACTCCCAGAACTTTACCACCAAACAGTATCACAAGCACAAAGTTTTCAAGTTGTTGTTTGAATAGATTAGAAAGCATTAAAAATGAAGTCATGGACTATGTGTTTTTATGTGGAAATTCAGAAAGCTACAAGATCCCAAAACTGACTTTGTAGGTGAGAAGGGAGCTAAAAAGCCTTTGCTTGATCTACGTGAAGACTGGCACGGAGATAATTATAGTGGCAATCTATCTCTATTACAGTCTTTGCTTGGACCAACACTTTGAAATAAGAGTGGTTAAATTCTACTCAACTCAAACACAGGTAAATCATGCACCCAGGTAGTCTCAAGATTTATAACTCTTAGCACATGATAAAATATGGCTATTTCACCTGACAGGTGAAAAGCTACTTCCCTAAGGGCTACAACAGAAGCAACTCTGACCACATAAAAAGTTTTGAGGTTATCCAGTGCAGGAAACACACATCTCCCAAAGTGGTTGCTGCTCTCTGGATAACAGAACACAATACACATGATCTCTGTACTATTTTCTTCTCAACTTTACAAACTTATCATTGACCTGCATGAAACCTCATACTAAGAACTGTTTGGACTTTCATTTTAAGCTTGCGGGAAATCACAGAATCTCCTCATAGGGCAGATGAGCAAAGTGAATGCCAACAAACTGTAAAACAAGATTACACAGAGCCATCTGTTCAGACACTCAAGCCTGTTGAGAAGTCTCATCCCACACAGACTGCTGGTCTGACACGGGCCAGGATCTACTCGTAACAGGTATAAAACACTATCTTGTTGCATTCCTAATTCATGCTTCCAAAACGTCAAGCAAAACCTGTTTCCTTTCCATCCCAAGCTTCAGGTTCGGTTGGAAACGCACACAGTCTCGACGAGACATACAGCAGACTCCTACAAACTCTCTGAAGGAGAGGGCAGATGGCTGCACATCACCAGCCCAGCCCGGCCTCGGCACAACATGGAGCCGTTCGAACTCAGTAACCTTGTAAACAGCAGGCGCCTTTCTTCAGCTCAGCCTTCGGGCCGCGGCGCCGCAGCAGCCGGGGAGTCGGGAGCCGAGCTGTCCCTCACCTCAGGGGCCAAGGAACACTTTTAAGCTGCCGTCAGTAAATTCCTTCCGCGCAGCGGCAGCGGGCGGCTGGGGAAGAAAAGGCTGGACCTAGAGCCGCTGGATCTGCCGCACTGACAAAGCTCGTCCCGAAGACAGCGGAGTCAGGAATCCTGCAGCCAAACCCCGCTGTGTTCCCAAGCCCCGGGCCCCCGTGCCAGCCCTGCACATCCCAAGCCGTGCTGCGCCCGCCGGACACCGCCGCCGCCCGGTGCGCCCTCAGAGAACCTGCCCCGGCGGGCCGCTCCCTCAGGAGAACGAAACCGGGCGGGGATCGCCATCCCCGGGGCAGGAGACGGCGACTTCGGCCCCGTTTCCCGGTGCGGCAAAGCCGGACCGCGGCGGTCGGTTGCGGAACGCGAACCCCAGCAGGCGGTGGTCGGGGCGGCCCCGGTGCCCCCGCCGTGCTCTTACCCAGCATGAGGGGGCTGAGGCGCCGGGCCATGCCCTTGGACAGGTCGTACACATAGAGCTTCACGGGGTGCAGCGCCAGCGGCTCCTCCATGGGGGTGTGGGCGCGGCCGCCAGGCGGCAGCCGGAGCCCTTGCGGACAAGGTTGAACGGCCCTTCCCTCCGGGAGACGGAGGGGAACAGAAGAAAAGGGCGGCCCCGGTGCCGGTCCCCGGCACAGCGGCACCAGCCGTGAGGTGACAGACGGGGAGGAAGGGGTGACACTCTCCGGGCGCATGCGCGGCCGCCCCGCACCTACCGGGCCGCCCCGTCACTGCGCGACAGTGCCAGGGGACGGAGCTACAGCCTGGGGCGGGGCCGGACAAGTTCCGCTGTCATTGGCTGAGGCTCGGAGCCGCGCGCAACGCGTGAGATCCTTCCGCCCTTCTCTACCCCACTGCAGCCAATCCGCGCTGAGGGGAGGGGCGTCTCCCCGGGTGGGGGCGGGACTCGGCTCATTCCCTCTCTCGCCATTGGTCAGAATTGTTACGGGGGCGTGGCGATCTGGCGAGCGGCGGTTGGCTGAACGTGAGTGGGGCCGTGCGGCGCGAGCCCCGCGTCTGGCGCGAGCTCCCCGGGCCCTTCCGGCGGCGGCGCCGCGCGAGCCATGGCGGGGTGGGGGTCGTTCTACCGGGGAGAGGGGCTGGAGGAGGAGGAGGAGGAGCAGCAGCAGGAAGAGGAGGAAGGGGCTGAGGCGGTCGGTAAGTGCCCCCCACTCCTTCATGGAGGGCAGCTCGGGGCCCGCTGCCTGCTTTTGAGGCTCCACGGGCGGAGGGGCCGCATCTAAAACTGTTTCCCCCACACGTTCCGTAGCGGAGCAGAGGTTTTCGGGCCGGGACAGCCTCATCTTCTTGGTGGATGCCTCCAAGGCTATGTTCGAGTCCGATGGGGACTCAGAGACTCCTTTCGACATGACCATCCAGGTAGGGATGGATAAAATGCTGATTGCTAAGGCAAGACTTTCACACTCCATACTAAAAATTGTTTTATTCCAATTTTGACCTGCGTACTTTTTTTTCAGTGCATCCGGAATGTGTATACCAGCAAAATTATCAGCAGTGACAGGGACCTGTTAAGTGTTGTGTTCTATGGTACAGAAAACAACAAGAACTCGGCAGATTTCAAGCACGTTTATGTTCTCCAGGAGCTGGACAATCCAGGTAAAGTGGTATGAAGGTTGTGTAAAATGATGGAGTAAGGAGATTGGTGTAGTAGCATTGTCAATAACTAATCTCTCTAAAATGAGATCTGAAATCCACTGTTAGTGGTGGGGATAGATTTAGATATTTATTGAAAGCTTAGAAACTTCATGAGGGCCTAGCATTTTCTCTTAGAGTTGGTTCAGATCCTTTTCAATGCCTTTTCTTATATTTTAATGTGGTGGCTTCACTTGCTGTCTGCTAAACCTCAACAGAACTCTTGAATGTCTGTCAGAAAAGTGTATGTCCATGCTAAGGCAACATGGATGCCAGCTGATGGAGAATATCACAAAATAGCTGAGGTTGGATGGGCTTTTGGAGGTCGTCTTGTCTAGCCCTCCTGCTCAAGCAGTGTCAGCTAGGAAAGGTGGTTCAACATGGTAGCCTGTTTGCGGTGTTCCATCTCTTGTTTCCATAATAAGTTCTGCAATTCTTGAATTTCTTTCTTTCATTTTCTTAAGATTACATACCATCTGCTTGATAACAAGTGCTGGTTGCTGAATTGGAAAGACAGTAGGAGAAGTGCAAAGAATACATGGTAGTGGTGACAGATTGTCTGACAGTTGAGTCTTCTGGGGGAATTTTTGTCTACAACTTTTAATAGCAGCCTTTATCTCTGAGGACGTTTGATTTAATTTTCTTTACTGGGGGTGCAGGTTTAACAACACAGGGGCTTCTGAAAGATTTATGCCTTTTCCTATTTTCAGAATTTATTACAATGGAGACCTGACAGTACTGCCTTAGGTTCTTCTCCTTTTTCTGGCAGACAGTGCGTTATAGGTCTTGCTTTTCCATTTTCCTCCTCTTCCCTGCTCATCTGTTCTCCCATGTTAGAGGCAGTAGCATCTCCATGCAGATAAAACCAGCGCAGGTGAAAGGTGGGTGTTGTTCTGATGCCTTGTGAGGCTAGACAGTGTGAAAGGAATAAAGGAGGTATTTATTAAAAGGCCTTCAAAGGATACACCTTGGGCACTACAAGAGCCTGGCTGAGGCTACACCCAAGATGGCCTCCAAGTCACAAGTTCTCACACTTCTATGTTTTTTTCCATTTACATATTAGGATTAATTGTCCAATTACAGCTTCAGGTTATGAAATCCCATCCTCCCAGATTGCTCTCCTCAATTCCCTGTAGTTTATACTTACTGGGCCTGAAGCTGTAACAGTGTCCTTGGTTCTCAGGCTGGAAAAGGATTGTTTTGTCTAACTCCCCTGTGAAGAGAACTTGCTAACACTTTATATGGAGTTCAGAGTTATATACCAATGCAGTATGGAATCTGGAAAATACAAAAGCTAAAACTTAAAGCATTAGTTCAAAAGGAACAGAATTGTGTATTTGCTGCCCCTGGAGAGCAGTGTGCTCTGGAGAAGGAAGAGATGCTATAGGTGGTTATTCAGGAATACATAATTATGAACATACACATTAAAGGACAGATAAGGAGATGAAAATAAGGTAGTAAAGGGAGAAGAAAACATTTTCAAATGAGATTTTTTAAGTGCTATAGAGTTTAAGTGAAGGACAAAGGAAGAAGCTCTGCAGAATGCAGTGGCTGAAAAATGAAAGTTTGTCTCCTGTTGTAGAGTGACAGAAGAAAACAGAACCTGCTGTGAGACAGGTGGGAAAAGGAGTTCTAGCTGGGTTGAAGTAATCCTCAGAGCTGCAACAAGGCTGTGGATGCCTGATCTGAATGTTGCTGTACTCTTCGTGGTGATCTGTGGGCTTCATCTCACCTCTGGGTGGATTCTCTCTGACATGAGGGGTGAGGAAGGAGGAGGTGGAGCTTTCCACCTTCCCAGCATGCTGTGGAGATGCAGGATGCATTTCAGGCTCCTTTCTTCTCTGTGGTGGTGCAGCAGTCTGCTGTGCCTCTGCAGCAGGTGCAGTTTGCTGCCTTTGCTGCTGAGCACGTGGCATTCAGTGGAGAGGGTTTGCAGTACTTAGATCCCTGTCTGCTTCCCTTCTCCACAGAAAGAGCCCACATTGGTGCCAGGGCATTTTGTGTCCTCTTGGCCCTAGCAGGTGCTTTCAGTGGTAACTGGCTTGTGACATTGCAGATGTTAGGCCATGCTGGACAGTTTTCTCAACCAGGTGTTGGAAGGACACTGCTTGGGAGGTGCTTGGGGACCCCTTGTGCATACTTAGAAGAGCTTGTGGTACTTCTTTCTGAATTTCTAATGCATGTGAGTGCTGTTACCCCTCCAGGTGCGAAGCGTGTTCTGGAGCTGGACCAGTACAGGGGAGACGAAGGACGAGCACTTTTCCGGGAGAACTTTGGCCACAATGCTGACTACTCACTGGGTGAAGCGCTCTGGGCCTGCTCAAATCTCTTCAGTGATGTCCGAGTCAGGCTGAGCCATAAGAGGATCATGCTCTTCACCAATGAGGATAACCCTCATGCCAATGACAGTGCTAAAGCCAAGCTGGCCAGGACCAGAGCTGGTGATCTGAGAGACACAGGTCGTTATTTCCCCTTATAATTTTAGGCACAATAAATGTGACACATCTTTGCAGCAGATGTTAACTGCATTACTAGTTTGTGATGGAAAGAGATGTAAAATCATCAGAACTGGGAAATGTTTCTGAAAGTTTCTAAGCTAGAAATTTGGTATCTAATCTAAATTAGAATATATGTTTTCTGATCTGGTATCCAGTAGCTAGCACTTGTTTTCTAGGATCTCTTTCTAGTTGGGTAGCATAAATGGGCACATGAGGGGGCGAAGAAAATAAGCTTTTTCTTGTTATTGTACCATTTTCCAGGAAGGGAATAGCAGTAACTCCAAGTTAACATGAAAGGAAAATTACTTTAATGGTTCCATTTTGAATTAGCTGAAGGACATCAGCCTGAGCTCAGAGAGTAGACAGCATTAGTTCAACTATGTAGCTGAGCTAACCAGTGTTTTTGGGATTCAGGAGATGTCCTGGATCTAGAAGCTGTGAGGTTTCCTTAATCCGTTAGCCTCTATAACTATGGGAAGGGGGATTTTCTGAACTTGTTACTCCTCTCTATGCCTGAGGTAAGATTATGTTTTATAGGAGCTTATCAGAGTCATTTCATATTCAATGCTGTCCAGATTCTTAATTAGAGAGGAAACATTTTCTGTTCTGCATTATTTTGACTGAAATGAAAGAATGTGTTTTGCCTCTTGCCCTAGAATCACCCCTTTCTCTAGAATATTTCACATCTGGTACAGATGACAATTTGGAGCTTATTCTCACTTAAATTATTTGTGTAGATAGAGAAATCTGAGAGTGGTGAGATACATGCTGATGCAAGAAAAAAGTTCCTGATCCTCTCCTCTCTCTTCCATTGTTTCTAGGTATCATCTTGGACCTTATGCACTTGAAGAAGCCTGGAGGGTTTGATATCTCTTTGTTCTACAGGGATATTATAAATTTAGCAGAGGATGAGGACCTTGGGATCCAACCTAAAGAGTCAGAGAAACTGGAACATCTCATGAGGAAAGTACGAGCAAAGGAGACAAAGAAACGGGCTTTAGTCAGGTTTGTACTTGGTTATGATACATCATTCAGTGGAGGCACCTGATGTTATTTTCAGACTGCATCTTACTTTCCTCTTCTGGAATGACTGGTCTTTAAAAGCATCAGTGCTTACATTCCTCAATCTTAATTCTTTAGTCCAAGACTGCTGTTTCTTCTGTAGTTTCCAAGGATATTTGTGGATGAGAAGAGCAGAGTGAACCTCTTTTTTCCCCTGTGTGATATCTCCTGTATTGAGCTTGGCCAGAAATGATAGTTTGTTAAAATATTACATAATTGCCAAGTACTTAAAAAATAGTTCATAGTGAAATCTTATTGAAATTAGGCTTTTCTTGCCAATACTAACTTAAGAAAATTCATCTGAATGTGAATGCTGCGTATTTTGGCCTGTTATTAAATAATTGTCTGTTGCCAGCCTGTCTAGGTACTTGGCATGAATTCACACAGCCTTGATATATCTAATCTCCTACTAAAAGATTAGAGATGCTTAAGAAAGATTACAGTGCTCTTGACAAAGCAGATAGAAAGTATTTTTGGAACCACATGATCCATAACAGTTGCTTTTTTAG